CAGAATCCGAAGCAGGCTCCAGGTTTTGAGCTGTCAGCACAGAATCCGAAGCGAGGCTCGAACTCACGGACTGTGAGATCATGACCTGAGCAGAAATTGGTGCCCCCCGCCCTCACCCTTTTTCTCTTTTCAGAAGTTTGTTCTCTGAGCTTTCAGTTTTGGGTTAGCTGCTATTCCTGGGAGATCCTTGCTGAATCACCTTCTTGTCCAGTAATAAATGACCCAAAGGAGAAATGTGGAATTAAGGGACACCCATTTCCTCTCAGAATCTGGCCCTGGGGATCAGGAAGAGATGAAGTCTGAAAACTCAGAAGCAGAAATAGGACTAATTCCAGCAAACAGGCAACTGGTTAGACATTCATATAATGGGATACTACATGCCTCTAAAATACAATAAAGACGTTCTCCATATATTAATAAAGATTTCAAGGTCTAAGTGGGGGAGGGGGGAAAACAAAAGGTATAGAACAGTATACAGCATTATTTCCTTCCTCTCATGCAAAAAAAAAAAATTAGAAATCTATGCTTCTCTTTGCTTATGTGTGTACAACTAAACTGGAAGGGAACAGAAGAAACAAGAACAGTGGTTACTTTAGTGGGTGAGAACTAGGCAGATGGAAATCAAGTTCGGGGGGAATACCTATCACTGAGTATCTGTTTCCACTTCTTTTAACGATGAATGGCACCTATTCAAAAATTTTAATTTGAAAATATGTGGAAATAGGGAAACCCCACGAGCTGCTCTGCTCCACTGGGAAGACTCCTTGCAGGGTTCAGAGCAGTGGTGGGGCACCTCTCTTTCAGGGCACGGGTTACTATCCTGGAAGTCCCAGGACTGTCTGAAGTTTTAGGTATGATGTAGAGTAGAGTCATGGTGCTGACTTTTTCTCCCTTCGACAGAAAAATAATTGGGGGGGAGGTGAAGCAGTCAAATGTAAGCAGCCACACCCTGCTGCCTTCGCAACGCTCTGTGCGGAGATGGTTCTGCCCATCGGGTCAGTGGAGTGTGAGCCGAAGCTCAGTGCCTCACTTCCCACCCCCATCTCCCCACGACCAGGGACAGCTGCAGGCAAAGAAGATCTTTGTTTCTTCCAAGTTCATCTGCTTCCCCTGCCAGGATCATAATTCTTCATTTGTGACATCACCATGAGCTACAGTGGGGGGGCTGGGATGTCACAAACAGAGGATTCTGTCACAAACTGGGGATTCTGGCTCCAGAGTGGGCAAGAGAGAAAAGAAACTCAAAAGATTGCCTTTTGAGACAAAGCTTTTGCCTATGTAAACCTCAGAAAACATGACAGAAGGCAGAATCGCTTTCCAAATACACACACTCACACAACAAAAAAACTTATGAATCACCGTGGTTATTACAAAGACACTGTGGTTATTAAAACCAATGGACAGAAGAGGGATGCTGATAAGTTAATGCTGGGACTCTGCATAAGCTAATCAGAAATATTTATTACCAAATAAAAGACCTGCACAGTTTTTGACTTATGAATAATTCTTAACTGTATCCTTTTATCAAACATTTATTGAGTCCCTTTTACAGAAAGCACTGAGCAAATTCTCACATGTTCCCTGGATGATACAAACTTTTTTTTTTTTTTTTAATTTTTAAAGTTTATATTTTTGAGAAAGAGCATGAGCACAAGCAGGGGAAGGAGAGAGAGGGAGAGAGAGAATCCAAAGCAAGCTCTACAATGTCAGCACAGAGTCTGACTCAGGGCTCAAACCAACCATGAGGTTATGACCTGAGCCAAAATCAAGGGTCGACCACTCAACCGATCCAATACAAACCTCTTTTAAGTGATCCTGAAAACTGATCCTGATCAGTGGTTTTTAACTTTTTTGGGAGCCATTCACTGTCCCTTTTGAAACTAATGAAAGCTACGTCAAAATATCATCTAAAGAAGGGAATTCAGAACTATACAGATGAGGCATAACCACTATAAACAAGATCTAGAAAGGTATCTCAAACTTTTATATCCTTTGCATGTTTTCAGACAGGGCAATCTTTTTGGCACGTTAATTTTCATAGGACTGTCACACGGCGCCATAAAGGAGATTAGTGGGTTTTCATAGAAAGGCCTAACATCAATGGGGCCCCTGGGTGGCTCAGTCGGTGAACCTTCCAGCTTTGGCTCAGGTCATGGTCTCACAATTCGTGGGTTTGAACCCCACACTGCGCTCTGCACTGACAGTGCGGAGCCTGCTAGGGAGTCTCTCTCTCTGCCTCTCCCCCACTCATGCTTTCTCTCTAAATAAAAACTTAAAAAGCAAAAAAGCCTAATATCAAAATGGTATTGATGACAGGTTACATACACTGTTCAAGAATCTAAAAGGAGCCTCTACTTTTTAGTTACAGCTGCATCCAGTTCACATAAAGCAAGAGTTAGAGCTAGCTCCCATTATTTAAATAAAAATGGATTATCCAAACATAATATTTAATTCCAACCAGTGTTTCCTCTATTAGCAGCACACTTTTAGGCTACCATCTTATATCAAAACCAGGAACAAACTCAAGTAAACTATTATTGCTTTTCATCATAAAGCCAAATATTATTAAGAAAATAAGTACCTTGGCCCAAAAAATTTTTAGATGCTGGTGATGATGTGGAGCAACAGGAACTCTCACTCATTGCTGGCGGGAATACAAAATGGTACAGCCATTTGGGTGGTTTCTTGCAAACTTAACATACTTCCACCATACGATCCAGCAACTGCACTTCTTAGTATTTACCCAAAAGGGGTCAAAACTTATGCCCACACAAAAACCTGCACACAGATGTTTAGAGCAGCTCTATTCACAACTGTCAAAAATGTGACTGTAACAAACGTACCTCTGGTGGGGGAATGTTGATAATGGGGGAGGGCTATGTATGTGGGGAGGGGGGGTAGAGGGCATAGGAGAACTCTTTTTACCTTCCTCTCAATTTTGCCGTGAACCTAAAACTGCTCTTAAAAAAACAGTCTTTAAAAGAGAGAGAAAAAAAAAAAAGAAAAAAAAAGTCAAAATAAAGTGGTAACTGATTATTCTGGATCTTGTGTACTATACCACACACGCGCGCGCACACACACACACACACACGCACACACACACGAAACCTTGTGACAAAGGGTAGGTGAGATCTCCCCATAGTTATACTTTACCTTCCGAAAATCCCGCTTCTCAAAATCCGTTTCTGCTATTTTCTCATATTCTATGACTGCATTAGCATTCTTGAACTATACCAGAAAATCAGATAAGGAAAGTTTTAATGAAGTTATAGGTTCAACAAACACAAAAATTAGGCTTTGATGAATTATTAGTTCAAGAAAATCAGAACCACAGACTTTACAAATCAAGTTGGTGAAGATGCAGCTAAAAGGGTAAAGCCCAACCTGCACCCTCAGTTTGAACTTAAAGTCAAGAATACAAGAATCATGCCTTGAAAGATATAAAATAAGGGCAAGGCATTGTCAGAGGTCGAGCAGAAGTTTCCAGATTCTCACTAAAATGCAACCAGAGGTAAACAGGGTATATATGGAAACGGAACTAAAACATGTTTTAGCTGCTACCAATTTAATCAGGATTTGAATTTACTCAGATTCTTCAACTTCATTCAAATCAGTTCCTTGCAGCATCTGCCCACCCCAGGAATCTCAGAAACCCTCCAATTTTCACAGATTCCTAAACCTATAAATCATACTCAAAACTGTCTACATACACAAAATCAAGCCTCAGACAGACTATGAGACTGCCTACAGTTAGCCAGGTGTGGCCGATGGCAGGAGTGAAACTAGCTCAGTTCTTTTTTTCCAGCTCTCAGTTCTGACTTTCAGGTCACTATACCACATTGTCTTTTTCCCTACACACAAGATCAGAACCATACCTCCTGTTGTGCCTGAGCATTTTTGTGATCCAGTTCTAGGGCTCTCTGGAAACTACGACATGCCGCCATGGCATTCCCTAGAGATAGGTGGCATTTACCCTCTCGTAGATGTCCCTAGAAGAAACAGAAAGAGGGAAGAAAAGGAGCATGATTGGCCAAGCAAAAAGCAATCAACAGCAGCAAGAAACACCCACAGAAAACCGACATGGGATGAAAATGGCCAGAGCAGTGGTTCTTACCAAGGGAGATTCTGCCCTCCATGGGATGGTTAGATGGTTAGCAATGTTAGAGACATTTTTGGTTGTCACCACTGGGGCCAGGGTGGGGGTGGGGGGGGTGCTACTTATACCCAGTGGTTAAGGGCCAGGGATGCTGCTAAACATCATACAATGCACAGGATAGCCCCCCATGACAAAGAATGATCTGGTCCCAAATGTCTACAGTGTCTAGACTGAGAAGCTCTGGGACAGAGAATTTAATTGAAACAACCGGTCCTCCCCAGCTGATCCTTCCCCAACCATTTCTCCCCAGTCAATTCTTCTCTTCTCTTCTCACGCCTTCTGCCCCAGCCAAGTGGTCACATCACGTACCCGGACGAAACTGTCATCCAACCTCACGGACTGCTGTGCATCTCCAAGAGCTTCCCGGAACTTTCCAAGCATCATCAAGGTGGCTGCTCGATTCCCATAATAGCTAGCATTTTTAGGACACATATCTACAGGAAGGGCAGAAGAAAGTAAAATACAGCTTAGCCAAGTCACTGCCTCAAAAACTGCGGGGCCATCTCCCTCAGAACTGTATCAAGGCAATCAAACTCTAACAGGAATGCTGACATACTGTTTAAAAGGCCATGGCCAAATTTTTGACTACTTGTGCAAATGGACAGCAGCAATGGTGCAACCAATGAAAAAGGAAGTTGCTTAAAAATAATTTACACTTGGCTTTAAAATGCTCTGATTATCTTTTCAGGATAAAGTTGGGAGATGTCAGCATATTCGTCTTCTTAATGAATTGTATTTTATGTAATAAGACATGAAAATGAATTTGCATTTGTTGAATTAGGGGTAGAGAACCTGTAAGCAAGTTAGGTGAGAAACATGCTGACATGGTATTAAAATATGCTGGCAAATTGAGCATGGAAGTAGTTAAGGCTTGATAATATCTACAAGGGCCATTTTCTAAGATAGTTAAATGAGCTGGAAATGGCTGAGATGCATTTAGGCGGTTATCTTTTTGCCATTAGATCTAGAATTTCTGGAATTGCCTTTAAACTACCCATTTGAGCTAGAAAGCGTCATCCCTCATGAAGCCATTAAGTCCAAAAGAGTTCACATGCCATTAAGTCCAAAAGAGTTCATAACAGTTATGAACCCACTACGCCAAAGGCTACTTCTTCGAGAGGGGCTACTTATAATGGTATTCAGCAAATTTATCTTTCAGCATAGGCAGTAGGTCCTTCTCACCTATGGCTTTTGTATAATAGTTATAAGCTTCATTGTAATCTTTCTTGGCATAGTATGCATTTCCTTGTTCCTTGAAAGACTCTGCTTCCCTGAAAAGGAAAGAGAAAGAAGGGCACGTTATTTTACACAGGGAATAACCTCTGTAATCTCATGGGAGCAATCTTTGGTCTACAGCTCTGGGCATATTGAGCTGAAAGTTAGTGCGATACTTGAAGGAATTTATAGATTTGTTAGATGCTGTTTTTTTGGGGGGCTTTTTTGGGTCAGATACGTTTAAACTAAATGAAGAAAACCTCTCTTGTGTTGCCTGCCTTTCCTCAGTATTCTGGCCTACAGTCACACCCCATACAACAGGCAAATTTAGACATCCTCTCACAGAAACTAAAAAATTTTTTAAAGTTTATCTATCTACCTACCTACCTACCTACCTACCTACCCACCTAAGTAATCTCTACACCCAACATGGAGCCTGAATTCGTGATCCCGAGATCAAGAGTTGCATGTTCCTCCAACAGAGCCAGCCAGGAGCCCCAGAATTTTTCTATTTATTTCCTTTCCACTGTGCCACAACTTCTGCCTCTTTAGCAACCATAAAAAATCAGTTACAGATCATTCCATTCTGGGGCAATGACTTCTTAATGTGAAATGGGTCACATCTTTAGAGTTCTAATGATCTGTTCTCTTGAAAACTGGCTCATGCATTTGTCACTGAAAGGACAAGCAGAGCAAAAGCAGGTGGCAAAGGAGTTAAAAGCAGAGCATACTGATGTTTAAGATGGAGGACGGAGTTGAGTGACAGCAGAGACCAAGAACGTGGGTAACAGGGACATATGAGGTACAGCCTGCGGGGGATATGCTTTGAGAAGTACCCATCTACTGACACTCTCTCTGCCTATCACACCTGGGTGGGTTCTTACTGCCCCCTATACCGTTCCTACTGTACCTTGTATAACCACCAAGTGGGTAGTATCAGAATTTTTGCCCTACTCCAAGATCCATTTTTTGAAGCTGTACCATTAGACAAATTGTTCTTTCCAAAAGGAACAATGTTATGTGAGAATTATACTCCAGACCAAGGAACTAGAATTAAGACATGACCAACAATGTTTCAAAAGAACTACTAACCTCTATCAAAGATACCCCAAATCATTCTAATGACTCAATTATCTTTGAGTGACAAAGATAATTCTTTACCAAAATGATTACTGCAATATAACTAAATATCTGAGCATTTTTGCTATAAGAATCTGTTTCTTTTTCTGTCCTCTACACACACACAAGAGAACCCAGTTCAAGGGAAGCAAGGACAAAAGTACCTAGTTCTTAACTTTGGTGATGGTATGGGAGTTTACAGCTTGATTCTACAGACATCAGCATTGGGAAGATTTGTGATTTTTTTATTTACATATTTTAAACTACAAAGTAGCAAAGCTGCTCTCCTTTTAAATTGAGGCCCTCTCCCTTTCTATTCTTCTCCATCACTGTTCTGGCAAGCCCTACTAACATGAAAAGGCTGCCAGAAGAAAGGAGAAAGAAAATGGGAATGATCTACAAATGCTGACAGATTTGAACTGTGATGGACATGAATCTGTTTGAATAATTTTATTACACCAACTGTCACAATGCTGTAAAGAGGCCATCTGCTATTAAGTCCTCAAGAAGGATCCCCCAGCTGCAAGATTTACAGGACCAACTGCAACCTTTCTACATGGCAGACACCATCCTGTAACTCTATAAATTAAGCAAGGCACTATAAAAACTATGAGGAGCCTATCTTTTAAGAGCAGACATGCCAAGAGATCTGAAGAAATGGTTTCCCCAACCCTGGATGCCAGAAGCTGAGTCAAACCACTGTGAAGACATGAAGTGGTAAATTCAAAGGAAACACTGAAGATGTACCTGAAAAGATCTAGCCTTCTCTTTTAGGCTAGTGGCTAAGAATACGCAAATCCTAGAGGAAAGCCAAAGGCATCCAGGCACGTGAACAGACACTGTATCAGCAGTATAAAGCTTGTTAGTCAAAGGTGAAGCAATCTGCAGAGCTACAGAAAGGTGCTCTTTCTTTCCTGAAACACTAACACCCATGGATACAAGGAAGTTCAGCACTGGCTTTTAGTAAAAAGGCAAAGGATGATTTCTGTGGAAAGTCAGTATTAATTACTGAAGTCTGGTACTTTCCATATGTTATCTTCCCATCAGGTGTTTCACATTATTCCCCTTTCTCATAGGAGTAAAATAAGGGGTAGAGGTTAAAAACTGGCCCAAGGTCAGGATCTGGAGCCACACCTGTCAGATTTCAAAGCCTGTGCGCTGCGCTATCTACTACGCTTAGCTTTCTCTCTAATGCTCATCTCTATCTATTGCCTAACTAAGACTTTAAAAATTAATCTGTCTTGCTAGGAACAAGACATGGGCAACGAGAGTGAATTTCTTCAAACTAAGACATAAAACAGCCACAGCATGTAAAATCCAACTCCAGGACTACAATCTGGATCTAAACAAGCTAAATGACATTCCTAACAATTAGTCACAGAGAGCAGGGCTCCTTTCTCTTTAAGATGCAAGACCTAGTGAACTGGACTTTGCCTCCCCCAAGAAATGCATTTCATTTTAGTAAATGGTGAGTAGATTCCATTCTAGAGCAAACAAAGCGAGTAATGTAGAGTCAGCCCACAGCAGAAAGAACAAGAAGAATTGTGTTGTGACAAGTTACCATGTTTTTAACCTCACACTGCACAGCATCAGGCCAGAATTAGCTATTCCCACACAATTGCCTCATGAAAAGGACTTATTTTCATAGAAACATGGTTGATTAACAGCTGCCTAAACAATGGGCACTTAGTGCTTTTAGGCTGAAGGCTTATTTTTTGCCTCCAGGTCCAACTCCCAAAGTGGAGTCCCTCCTCCATTTTGAACCTCCCCACCAAGTACGCGACAAGCTTTAACCAATGGGCCTGACCCTGTGAGACCAGTCGAGGAAAAAGTGGATCTTTGGAATCCAGCATGGCAGCAGCAAGAACTGAACAAGGCTGCATCAGGAACAATTCCAGGGTCAAATCCATTCAAGTCCTGCCCTGGGAGTCTGAGAAAGGGCTGAAGCTTGTTCAAGTTGCCCTTACAGCAAAGGGACTGAAGGATGAGATGTCAAAGGCGTGGGACTGGAAAAGAAGGAGAAGAGCTGGTTAACACCGGAATTGAGGGCAATCTGGCACTGGTATCTGTCACACCGCTCGCTGCCAGAGTCGATGGGTAACAAAGTGAGGTTACAACATGTACCTACCAAAACACATGGGCACTGAGAAAGAAGAATTAGGATTAATTAGGCTCACCTGGACTAACCAAAAAGAGGAAAGGATTCCAAAAGGGACTAACTAAGCTACCAATTATTTTCTAAGGCCACAAAACGAAATTCAGATCAAACCCTGAAATATAATATCACATCAAAATATAGACTTGGCCCTAACTGACTGACCTGATGGAGCTATTAATAGCCACACTGTATCTCTAGTGCTTTTTCAGATTTTCAAAGCATTTCCAATGAAGATCCTGGCCTCCTGAAGTGGTTATGGTGATACTATCACATGTCCTTCGGCAGAGGAAGAGCCGGAGAGGCATCCAGGGAGCTGCACACGTTCCCTAACTCCAACAGTCTGGTGTTTCTTGCCCACTAGATCCTGTCAGCTGGCATCAAGGTTTTTAGATTAAAACTAATTTATCTAGTTTCCCACCCAATCTCTAAGCAGAATAAGCTTCGCCACTCTGACTCACCAGGAGACACAGGGAAAGAAAGACTCTAGCCTCCACCAAACCAGTCCTTTCCCTTTAACAGCCAGCAACAAATTCCTGTGAAAAGAGCCACTGAAAGATTTTCAAAACTCTCTATCCTCTTTGGAGGTTATAGGGAGGGTCCCAAACAACAGGATCGCACCAGAGGGCCCGGCAGGCCTTCTCTCAAACATACAGATAAGCAGACTACATTCTGCTCTTAGTCTGCTTTGCTTTTTTTTTTTTTTTTCAACGTTTATTTATTTTTGGGACAGAGAGAGACAGAGCATGAACGGGCGAGGGGCAGAGAGAGAGGGAGACACAGAATCGGAAACAGGCTCCAGGCTCTGAGCCATCAGCCCAGAGCCCGACGCGGGGCTCGAACTCACGGACCGTGAGATCGTGACCTGGTTGAAGTCGGACGCTTAACCGACTGCGCCACCCAGGCGCCCCTGCTTTGCTTTTTTAAAACGTATTTATTTTTTGGAAATAACTTCATCAAACTTCAGAAAACTGCAGCCTCATAACCTGCTCTTCTACACTACACACGTGTGAAAAATCTGTGTGTCCTCTGATCATGCAGTTATACTCTCTCTCCCAATTTAGCATCACAGATGCTAATTACTCCAACAAAAGGCCAAGGGAATCATTTGGTATCACACAGGTCTTAGTAGGGCTCAGCATTATGTGATCAAGTCAGACAACTAGGGCTTACAATCACCAGTCAACTTTGCACATTTACAGCTCAGCTAAATTAAACATACCTTAAAACACTGCAGCTGACATTGCAACATGACCCCAATTAGATGCTCTACAAAAATCTTCATTTTCTCTCTAAATATTCCAACTTGAACACTTAAACAAGATCTTTGCCTTAGGCAAACTAGTCTGTCTTTTAGCAATGAAAGAGTTATGCAGAGAATTTTACTCATCCGCTTTCATTAATGCAGGATTCACTGGGTGGCAGTTTTTAAAACATCCTCAATGACTTGGTTCTCTTTGGAACTGTTTCATGTTTCAGTATTTGTGAATTATTAAAAGAGGGATGAGATGCTTCATCACTTGTACTGTATCATTTTAAGATTTAATTACCTCAGTGCATGAAAAATACAGACTAACATAGGTCACTATTCTGTAATATTCGCAACCTAGGAAACACTAATCTAATTTTTGTATGACAAAAACATACCAGACTGCTTTTATCTATTTCAAGTATTTGGCTACAATAATATACTTTTAATAACATTCAGTTCTCCAAAAACCATTTATAATAGTTTAAATCAAAAGAAATGCAGAAGCTTGAAATCTTTTTTTTTTTTTTGCA